ACAAGATCAAAGCCTAACATCAGCGAGGCTCCGCTTGTCTGACACGTTCATAGAAGCCAACCGGGTCCTGGCCTAGACAGTCCCCTGGTAGTCAGCACCCACCAGGTCCACCTGGTATCCGGGTGTAATCGCGGTAACCCAACTCACAGGGGTCCACGCCCCAGCACCTCAGGGAACGAATTGAACCCCCCTGATCGACTCCGGCCTATCCACACACCCTCCATCCTACTTCAGATATGGTCTCTAGATACAATACAACCTCGACCTCACGTCCATGGTTAGCCACCCTCCTCCCGGGACTTCATCACGAAGGCAAAAGACCCAAGACCCCCCCTGTATATTTGTATAGTACTCAACAAGTATCCGCCCCTGGAACTCCATCCTCGTCCAATGCTCGGGCCTCTTGCGGTCGGCACCGGTCCATGATCCTCTCTCGCGCGCGCACCCTGGCTCTAGGTCTCAAACTCTCTTCTCCCTGACGCTTATGTCGCGAAGCGTGATAACTGAATGGCTTATCATCCTCACTCAACTGGAAGACCGCTGTCACACTCTCTATGCCTGCAACATGTTATTCCTGTATAACGGCTCATTGGCCTCCCTTGCGGGTACCTGAGGCTGGGTCCTGTGTTGATCTGGTCACGTGTCAATTCCACCAGTACTATATTTATATTTTCCTTAACTGACTCCCTTTTTTTTTTTATTAATTCCTAAAATACCTGCTCATCGCTATTAAAAAGAAAAATACCACGATAAACAAATTTTTGACCTTATCAATGATAACAGCATTCCTTCTAATGATACGTTATACCGCGATGAAAGCATCATTTGTAGCAGCTTGAATAACATGTAATATTTCTGTATTTCGATAGCTTGAAATTATCTCACAAAATTAATGTTATGATAATAAAAATTGTATTTTAGATTTGTATATGACTTACGGTAACTCCGAAGGTAAGTCGTATCATAGAAAAATATACAAAATTTACTTTATCATTCTTGCGATAGATAAGATATATATATATATACATATATACAGAATGTACTTTATACTTGTTACAACTGGGAATCTCATCGCATAATAAATCGAACCGTTTATCCTCGTGACATTTGTATCGGTCATTCGGTACGGCGGATAAAGACGATGCCAAGGAAAAATGCCAGAAAGATTCTTTATTCTTTTTTTTATATTTTTTTGTTCCTCGTACAGTCTCATAATCCTTAGATAGTTTGGCTACACTGCAACGGTTGAGCAGACAGAGGAACAGGAAGACAGGCGAAACGTAGGTCGTTAATCAACGTAACGAAAGGGGATGAAAAAAATAGGAGGAAAGAAAAATTGCAAGAAACCTGAAAGAATTAAACAGACCGGGTTACAGGCTGTTTCAGTCGGACGGTCCATTCGGATTAACATCTACCGGATGCCTGTTTTGTCTCCTGGAACATTTACGTACGCAAATTTCATAGTCGCCGAAGATCGGTAGAACTTGTGACGTGAATTTTCGAATCACGGTCACAAGGCGGCTCCGGTTACCGATACAGATAACGTTCTCGATTTCTGGTTCCCTTCGGGTCGCCATCCTGCTCAGAAGCTACGCTCTCGGGTTCATTCGTACAGTTATGTCAAGGCTCTCGTAAGATTTCGTTATTGTTTAGTTGAGGTCGAGGAGTTATCGGTTATAAGGCTCTCGACCAATTAGAATGATCAGAATGATTAGTTCTCGGATTTGGCTATTGTCAATCGACTGCTTAAAGCAGTCTGTCTCGGGGCACCGACCGAAGTGTCACGGGGGACATCGCGCTTCCGTGCTTCCTGTTGATAGTTTTTCTTGCCGTGTTTCGCTACGGTATAGCAAGTTCTCGACTCGTACAGTTCTCGCGTTGTTCTCGCGAAATCCAGGCAATTCTATGAATTCCTGTGAGTGTTCCGGAGGTGTAGTGCTGTG